GGGGGGGGCCCATCCCCCTTGCGGGGAGGGAGAGTTTTGGCCCCCGCACAACATGTTTTACTCGCCCCCCGGGCGTTGGGGGGGGGGGGGGGGGGTATACTAGAATCAAGTAATAAAAGATCCAAACACTTTTTTTTTTTTTTACTTTTCTCGCAATTACGGCACCTTTCTAGGACGTAGGTGTCGTTCTCAGTTTTTCTGTGGGCACTGTTGACTTAACTGTCGAGTTTTCAAGTGCAGGTGCTTTCTGTATGTACAACACGGCAAGCATCTCACCTCAGAAGGAGGTGGAAAAAAGAAGAAAAACTCGTGCGTGGTCTTCCTGTGCTACCGACCGGGCTGAAGCGTCCAGAAAACAAAAAAATCGAAAGAAAGCAGTGCAACAAGACTGGCGTCCAAAGCTAATGGGACGGCGCACACACACGACGACAGCCGACATCTCTTGGTTTTAGGAGAAATAAATAAGAACACAGAAAGACTACCCGTTCGAGATATAACCTCAGTCGAACGGATGGTTTGTAAACTAGTCTTGTTTCCGTTGGCTGACTGGTCTATGTTTCCGTTGGTTGCATAAGATTGCAGCAGCCCCTGGCCCGTTTTGCAAAGCTCGACTTCTCTGCAGCGGCAGATACTGTAAGGCAGTAGCCACGGTGCCGAAAAAATGGCGCCGTTTGAACAGCAGGCTCGTCGGGTCGGAAAGTTTCCTAAAAGTTCGATTTTCGACAATTCGACGTTTCGACATTTCGCATGCGCCTCGCCGTAAACGCCGTTTTCTCCCTGACGCGAACTCTACAGTAGGTTCAATTTTTTTGCCCCTTGACGGTGAACCCTAGGTATTTTTCTCCCTCACAATGGTCGAGCTAGTATTCTACGGTTATGTTGTGAACCATGACGGTAGTATTCTACTTCTCGAAGGGTTTGGGAATTGTGAATCTCCAATTTCGAACCCATAAACGCATGCCCGTGTTTGGGGTCAACGTTTTTTTTTTTTTTGCTGGAGAAAGGAGTTGTGCATGTTCTTGTTTTTTGTTTCTTCCTAGGCATGACATCACGGCCCTGTATGTAGCCTACCGTACATGACACAAGATAACACACCCCCTGGACCGATTTTCAAATGTCGATTTCTCAACAACAGATAAGAGTCACAGCGCCGAAAACGGGGGCGTTGAAGCTGTCTCGTCGAGAGCTTTCCGAAAATGTATTGTTTCGTTTATGCATCCTCTTCGTCGTGGCGTAATCGAGCTTTGAAAATTGGTCCAGGGGGGGTGTTATCTTGTGTCATATACGGTATTTGAAAAGAGTATGAATCACGTGCAAGAATGGGGTGCTCCTGTCGTAGGCAGTGTGGTTTGCACTCAATTTTGCATAGCGCGAAAGCGAGGGTAACACATGTCGTGCTACTGCTGTATGGATGTTTTTTTTGTTTAGACATGAATACCATCACGAGCAAGACCGACGTTATGTACATGAGCGACAGAGATAACGTGTAGACTCTCAAGAGTTATATTACAAGCTCCGAACTTGTTGGATTGATTCCTGCTAGCCGGTCTGTCGATGTATATCGCACAACGAGGATTGTGCTTCCCCCGATAATGACGATGCACTTCACGACATTCCCTATTTTTCTATTTTTTCAGCAACCGCTGGCTCCCTTGCTCTTCGGTCTATCGTGTTTTGGCCCCTTCATGATTCAAGTTTTTTGTTACAAAAACATAACGAATCAGAAAATAAAATTGTTTGTTACCAAATTTAATATAATGGGGGGGGGGGGGGGGGCACGTTATGAATACCAAACCAACGTCACCCGCTTGCCCTCGCGCAGGCCAAATTCGGGCAATGTTTCTCTAATAATGTCGGTCCTTGCCCTCGGCCAAAACTCCGGCGAATGCTTCTCCAAAAATGTCGCCCCTTGCCGTCGCGCAGGCCAAACTCCGGCAATGCTTCATGAAGGCACACGCGCAGGTCCTTCGCAGCGTGCGAGTTTCCCGGGACGGCGAGCACTTCGTGTGCCTCGCCACCGGAAAGGTGTTCCCCCGGAAGAGCCAAGATTTCAAGAAGTTCTACATGCGGTTGAAGCCGGGGACGGTGAGATGTTTGTTGGGTTTTTTTTTGTGTGTGCGTGCGTGTGTTTGTGTGTGTGTGTGTTTTTTTTTTTCAATCGCATGCAGAACACTAATACCTTCTGCCTGTTGCTGTTGCTGTTGCTGTTGCTGTTGCTGTTGCTGTTGCTGTTGCTGTTGCTGTTGCTGTTGTTTTGGTTTTTTTACTCATGAAAACACTGTTACCCTCTATGATATGATGGCTGTGGTTGTTTGTTGTGTGCCCACATGCGTGTCATTGCACAGCTCCATTCCCCCGCCTACCCTTGTCCTTTGTCTTGGATCTTCCTTACACACCCCTTTGACCAAATGGAATTTCGTCGCCCGAGAGACCGATTCCACCATACCGTACCGGGGTGTCATGGTCACCCTGTCCACCATAACATACCGTACCGGGATGCCTTTGTCTTCCGGTCCGCCATACCATACTGTACCAGGGTGTCTTGGTCTTCCGGTCCACCATTCTATACCGTACCAGGGTGTCTTGGTCTTCCGGTCCACCATACCATACCGTACCGGGGTGTCTTGGTCTTCCGGTCCACCATACCATACCGTACCGGGGTTTCATGGTCTTCCGGTCCACCATTCTATACCGTACCGGGGTGTCTTGGTATTCCGGTCCACCGTAAGATACCGTACCGGGGTGTCTTGGTCTTGTGGTCCACCGTAAGATACCGCACCGGAGTGGCTTGTGGTGTTCCGGCCTTTTCATCCCCATGTCCCGGTGTTTTTCAACCGGAGTGCGCGCTTTTGCGAAATTTCGCACCGGAGTCTCACGCGAGACACGAAAAAAAGCCCACAACACCAGCAGAAGAACAAAAACGCGCACTGCTAGCCCCCCCCCCCCCCCCATGGTCGAGATTCCAGTTTGTTTTCCCCATACTCGTAGTGCAGCTCAGCAGATACCCTAACGCGCAAAAATTGTAACACCAAATTCCCCACCTGGAACCCCAACCCCCCACTTCCCTCGGCCGACCGAGCGGGCCTTTTTCTCGCCCACCCCCCCCCCCGCACATGACCCCACTCGACAAACACCCCCCGAAACTCTCCCC